TGGAGCTCATGTCATCTCCCCCTCCTCTCACTTCCCCCTCCGTAGACACTTATGTTGCGAATTTTTGTCTCAGGCTCTCTGAATGTATTAACTTTGTTGCTCCTTTAAAAACAAAGACTGTCTCTGGGACAAGGAGTATCCATCGTAAAATTAAGAAGAGACTCTTATTAGTTTTTAAATGTCTTCATGGAACTGACCCAATATACCTTTCTAATTTGTAGAATAAATATACTCCAGCAAGATCACTCCGAATATCAAACAGTAATTTTTGATTGTGCTAAAAACACGGGTACAAATTGGTGAGTCATTTCGGTCCCAAGCTATGGAGCTCTCTTCCTGACAACCTACGAGCAATTGACTCACTTTGCACTTTATAAAAAAATCTCAAATCACATTTGTTCACAAGGGCCTTTCCTTGATTTATTTCACTGTTGTATTTTATTTCTATTATGTGGTTTTGTGTTTGGTCATTTTACTATCTTATTTTCTATGCGTGTAATATGTATATTTTATTTCTCTGTAAACTGTTTTACTTGCTCACAACAGCCCCTCCCTGGTTGATTTCCCTGAGGAAGGACCTTAAGGACCTCAAGTCAGGCTCCTACTACTAGGCCAGCTTATGTTTTGAAGTAGAGTCTGTTTGCTGAGTGGTGCTCTTCCCACCGGGAAGACCCCCGGAGATGCCCGACCAGCTTTATGCTTTCCTTTCTGCAAGATACGTTGGAGCAGAGGCTGTCCCATCGTGGCATATTGTATAAAGCACTATATGAATAAAGGTAACTTGACATATTTCTTTAGAGTGATTGCAAGGTGGAAGGAATGCATGCTGAAGATCTTAACAAACATGAAAAGCAGAATGATCAAGGCACATGTCCTTCAAAACCATTCTGTGATCAGGAACTTTGTGGAATAATTGTTTATTGAGCACATGTTTATTCGGCTGTAATTAAAACCCTTGAAACAACTAAGAATGGAACCAGCTGAATTAATCGGCTGTAATTAAATCAATTCCCCTATTGTGCTTTTAACCTCATTCAGCAAGCCAGGCAAAAGTGAAAAATTCCACAGTCAGCCGGTTTCCCCATTGTCTGACGAACACATAGAAAAACTGCGATATGGCTTTTATTAGGGGTGTGATCAAAACCAGTAGACCTACATTAACCCATACCAAGTTAAAAAATCACTATCATGTCATTCCATAATTGTATTCTTTTCTTTTAATTGTTTTGTGTCCATACAATGAGAGTCACTTACTCTCTTCATACTCTTGAGTATAAGTGAAGAGTTCAGATGCAAAAGCCTCTAAGTGCCATCTGAAATTTTCTTCTAGAATGATCATTTTTATCAAGCTTGTATATTTAAGTTCAGTAATTTCACTTAAATGACAATGAAAATTACCTATTATTTGTCATTTAAGTGAAATTACTGAACTTAAATATACTAGCTTGATCAAAATTATCATTCTAGAAGAAAATTTCAGATGGCACTTAGAGGCTTTTGCATCTGAACTCTTCAAGTACTTTGCGACCGCTAAAAAAGTATGTTCTGTATAGTATGAATAATCACGTGACCAGATTATGGTCTGTTATGTCGCATCACTGCCATTTACAAATTCTCACCCGTGGCCTAATAAGATTGTAAAGTATCTCCAGTATCTTGCTGGAAGAAGGTTATCTGTGTACTTTTTGTCTACTCTTTTATGAGTTCTGTCAATTCTTTTGTGACACACTGTTATTCACCTACCATATAGTTGGGAAGGATGCAATTTTGAATGAAGCCTTAGAGCAGTTAAATCTTGAATCTTCAGGGAATCACCCGTTTGAAAAAACAACAACAACAAACAGTGGAGAGTCTGCTGGCAAAAAGAGAACGCAACACAGCTGTTAATAAAATGGGAGTCAACACTGGCTTGGCTTTTCGGAGATGGCGAGAATTGAGGGATTTGAAATGTAAAAGCGGTAGATGGCAGTGATGGCGTTTTTATTACTCAACAGTTGAGTAATATATAGGCTAATACTGTAGAGATAAATTGCCATATCAAACAGAGTTCATTGTAAAGCATTATCGATTGTGAAAGATCATTTCATTATGGTTGTGAATTTATTTTCAAGGAAGTATCATGTCTATTTTGGGGTATATATATATATAATATATATATATATATATATATATATATATATATATATATAATGTATATTATATTTATCAGCTTGAGTTCCTTTCAATCTAAACTGGTTATATCTCTTAAGTCTATAACGTTTTATGCACATGCAGTATAATAACCAAATTCATACGCACTGTCGTGCAGAGCCAGAGCCATAAAGGAGATGCGTTGATTAACACTAAATCACATGAAAAGTACTTTTTTTATTGTAATATGTCATTAAAGTCATCATTACAAATGTGTGATTACAAATATATTACATACAAGTTTCAATAGAAATTACATTGAAGTATATTTTAGTTTACTATAAACGCTAGTCAGTACAATTTAACCATATTACATGACCGAAAACAATAGAAGTAATTATGAAATTACACATGAATATATTATACTTAATTCCTACTTATCTGGGTCAACTAATTGCATTTAATATAAATGTAAGCTATTAGACATTTTCATTTAATTGCAAATAGCATGCAGTTTAAGTGTCCAAAAACATTACATTCACATGTATTATTTTCACTATAAGTTATCTCATTAAAGTATGCTAACGTGTACTTATTTTTCACAAGAGACATTTAAGTCTTTTGAATAAGTAAAATTGTACATTTGCTTCAATCAAAACAGTCGCTAGAACAGAAGTCTTCTTGGTGAACCTCTCAAATATTGGTGAACCATGGACACTTCAGGAGGCTTCTTACACTTTAAACGTAATTGATATCTCTCTTTTGTGATGCATACGTCTCTTTTATTTGAAACTTACGTCCCGAGACAGGGATTTGAAGAATAATGAGAAGGGCAGTGAATTTTGTCAACAAAAAAGCAAATAGAGACCAATTAAGATGATGGATATCTAAAATGAAAACAGCAGGGATCTTCTTTTTCTTGGAGTTGAGCCTTAATTGGCCAGGTTCACATAAACCTTTTAAAGTGAATAATATCAGACTTGTATCAGTACAACGGTTCAAAATAAATACATGATGGGGTTGGAAATTGTGTGATAAAAAAATAAAGTGATTCTACTTGTCAGTGCATATCTTTCTCTAATGAGAGTCAGGAATATGCATGAGGACATTTGCAATGACTTCATTGTAAAGTTGATCATATGGCTGGTGCACTGCAGATGAAAAAAAAAAAAAAAAGTTTATTCTTGAAACAAGAAACTTCGAATGCGTCAAAATCTTCTATGAACTGAGAATAAGTAAATGGATTACATCTAAAGAAGCCCATCAAGGAGTGCCATGAAATTCTTACAAAATAGCTTGATGTGGACAGAAGCTTCCTCAGGCAAGTCTTATTCTTCTAAAGAGACAAGGAGTACATGATCTTTCTCAATTTTGAGTCAATTTTATTGTAATTTTATTGTTTATTGTATTATTGAAGCAGGATACATATAAAATATTTTTTTTGTTGGGATGTGAATAAGCAATCATACCGTGAGGACATTTTGGAGAAAATATGCTCAGCATGACATTGTGAATTGCATCAGCATAAGCTAAGCTTTACCTTGAACACCTGCCGTAATCCTTTCTCTCACTGCAAATATTACAGTAATTCTATTTCTCCTTTCGTAGCCTTAGGTACAATTCTTCAATCTTCTCCGATTTTTTGCTTCAACCACTGCTTATTATTGCAATACATTAAATTGAGATATCTTACACTGAAATTGTTATTCTACATACATGGTATTATTCTTACTTATTCTTAATTTACTTTAGTAAATAAGTATTAATTAAATAAAATAACTATCACATTTAATAAACTATTTAGTAATATAATGTTTTATTTCTGTAACATTCACTCTTACCTTTTTGTTTGTTTATAGAAAAAAGCTATTAAAACACCTTTAAAGCTATTAAGAAGACAAAAGCAGTGAGTGCATGCATTTTATTGCTTACATTATTTTATATTTAGACAAATAACTTTAATTGAATTTATATCTGTAAAATTAAATGTAAATCACTGGTTTTCTATAATGCTTTTTAGGGGATAGAGAAGGTAATGGTACTGGTAATGGTACAGATGAACAAGCACTGCCCCCATCTGGTTGGTTTTTACCAACCAAACTTTCTGAATATGACAGAACATTCTGTTCTGAGGAAACTAAAACCGTCTAATATGATGAAACGAGACCTCACATGAATAATGCTGACAGTTATAAATTACAGGCAATTACAGAAACGAATCTACCGAAACAATACAATTTAGTAAAGTCATTAAATGCACAACTTTTGGATTTAACACTTCTGTAAATATAAACAACAATTTATTACTTATTATTTCCTTTAGACTCTTATTCTCTGTATTTTGCAACTGTGTTCAAGAAAAGACAATGGTTTTGAGAATTGTTGAACGCAAGTTCAGTGCGGGGTCATAAAATGTCAATAAAGGATAAAGGAAAACTTGACATGACACTCGATAATTCTGTTTCTCTCACTCATGTAGAATTTAAATGATAACACTTTACAATAAGGTTCATTAGTTGACATTAGTTAACCACTACCTTGGTTAACATGAACTACGAATGAAGAATACTTCAACAGCATGTATTAATCTTAGTTGATATTAATTTAAACATTTACTAATACATTATTAAAATCAAAGGTTGTATTTATTAACATTAGTTAATGCACTGTGAACTGACATGAACAAACAATGAACAGCTGCATTAACTAACATTAACAAATATTCATAAATACTGTAACAAATGTTTTGCTCATTGTTATTTCATGTTATACACTAACTAATGTTAACTAATGAACCTTAAAGTGTTACCAGTGTTAATAATTCTAGCAGAAATGAAGCCCGTCTTTATGTCAGACTAGAATCAGATTGAATTAAGTGGCCTGCTGTTCAACAAGCCATAAATACATTTAGACTTGGATAAATATAGTTCAGAAAGCCCTCAGTGATGTCAGTGCATTTCCAACAAAGGCAGTTGCGTCGCTCAGTGGTTGTTCTTACTGTTCTGTGCTTTTGGGACAAACACAAACATACAGACCAGGTAAGAAAGACAGTTTTTCATAACATTGCTTTAATAAAGTGCCTCTATATCAGTAAGGTCAAACATGTTTGGTTTGAGATGGCACTAAGGTGTTTTTGGCATTTTCCAAAGCCAATTGCTTCAAGCAGTTTAGATTAGGGATTAGGTTATAATATTGTGTTGTACAATCTTCATGACAACAAGTCAAACAATTTAAAAGTTGTGAAGTGTGACATCTCAAGTGTTATTATAAGACGTACAATACGTCGGTTTTGTAGCAGCGTAACATGGTTTTTAAATCTCTTGAATATTTTTTTGACATCAGTATGACTCTGCTCTGGAAGATCTTATTGGGAATCGTTCTCATTGGACGACTTGGTCAAGGTCAAGACCTATTAGAGGAAGATTTGGAGCAAATAGCAATTGATGAAGGGGCCGAGGAGGGAGGAAAGGAGGTGGACGAGCCTGAGGGTCCGGGGACAGATGTCAGTCAACCTGATGATAGACAGCCATGTGCCATGTGGATGGGAGGCGTTCCTGGTACACCTGGGCACAGTGGAAAACCTGGAAGAGACGGCAGAGATGGACATGATGGACCGAGGGGCGAGAAAGGAGACAAAGGTTAGAGTAAACTCTCTTTACACAGTTTGGAACTTTGCTATTTTTGGAACTTCACCTCTGAAATCCCATTGCGTCTATGATGACCTCACTAATAGCTTGTTTCACAAAGCTAGTTGAACAAACTGAGTTTCAGAGTTGGTTTAGAAGTTACAAAACCAAACAAATCCAACCTGGTTTAGATCAGGTTCAGCGGTTTCACAACACTCACTTTAAACATTCTATGTCAACTCCAGAGTTTCTGATACAACGAACAGCCAATTAAACCAAACATGTTCGATTTACTCCTCGAGATATTTATGAAAATATATATATATAAAAAAAAATTAAGAACAAATTTACAAGTCAAAAAATATCAGACTATATCAATGCAAGTGAATCAACTGAATTTATTTAATAAATAATTTATTTTGTTTACAAAGATCTTAAAAGAAAACGTGTAAATTTGGTTGGACCAGACAAAATTACAAAAGATTTTGGCGGTAAGTTTTGAGATCGACCTGAGTTTGAATTTGTCCATTCTTTTTCCATTGCATATCAGATCAGAAAAGCTTTTATTTTAAATAAAATGAAGAAAATATTTGAAATGTGAAAATTGGTATTTAATAGAATAAAGTGTTTATCGGGTAGGGTTAGGGGTAGGTTTTGTCCCACGGTACATATGAATCTTCTGCTGTTCTGCTGTCACAATCCAGTTCATCCAGTTGTACACCAGCAACAGTACATAATGTTTCTGTTTTTTTTTTTGTGTTTTTTTGTAGGTGAAACAGGTGAGAAAGGAGATCCTGGACAGAAAGGGGATGTTGGTCCAGCTGGACCAAGAGGCTTTCCTGGGAACCCAGGTCTGAAAGGAGCCCGTGGGGACAGTGCTTTGTCTTACCATTCAGCCTTTAGCGTAGGTCTCAAAGAACTTGTTCCCGCAACCAACGTGCCAATCCGCTTCAACAAGTTCTTCTACAACGACCAGCACCACTATGATGATGTTTCCGGAAAGTTCCGCTGCGTTCTGCCAGGGGTGTACTTCTTCACTTATCATCTGACCGTCTACACTAAAGATGCTAAAGTCGGTCTCTACAAGAATGACAAGGCTATCATGTTTACCTATGACCAGTACCAGGAAAGCAATGTGGACCAGGCATCGGGTTCTGTTATCTTGCGTTTAGAGGCAGAAGATGAGGTATGGCTGCAGGTCTATGGAGACGAGGACTTTGGGGGAGTGTATGCAGATAATACCAACGACTCCACCTTTTCTGGTTTTCTTCTGTATCCTGCTATTCCTTCTCCTGCACAGAAACGTTGACAAGATCCTAAATCAGGGGTGTCAGACTCAGTTCCTGGAGGGTCACAGCCCTGCAGAGTTTAGCTTCAACCCTAAAGAAACGCACCTGATCTAGATATTAAAGTCCTTCAGGCTTATTTGAAAACTACAGATATGTGTGTTGAAGCAGGGTTGGGACTAAACTCTGCAGGACTGTGGCCCTCCAGGAGCTGAGATTGACACTCCTGTAAAATTAATTTGTTTGGCTATTTTTATTAAGTGCTTTTTAACTCCCCCGATGCAGCAAGTGCAAGTGGGAGATGTGCTTCAGTTTGCATGACATTTGAAATAATTCGTATTGATATGTCTACAGAGGTTCGGACATAATGAATCTGCTTTTTTTCTGGAATGCTTGTGTGAGGATGTGAATGTTAAATTGTCTCTGCTTTTCCATAGTAACTGAGTGCCAAATGACTCGAATTTGCTGACAAGTTGCAGAAAAATTGTTGATGAGTTGTCGAGTTTATAGAGGCTCTGGGTAACCCTCGTAAAATCAAAGTTAAAAAAAAAACAAGTATTGTTACCAGACCAAGTGGAAATGTTTTGAATGTTTCATAAACTTCCATGCTTGTAATTTAGCACTAAGCACTCAGCTGTACCTTGGACAGTGATTTCAGTTATTATATTGGATAACACTTTATTTAGATGGTTCTCTTTAGACATCCTATTGACTAAAAATGCAACATCCTGTTGACTATAACATTGCACCTACATACCAACTATGTCTCATTAGAGGATTAGTTGATTATTACTACACTGCTTAATATCTACTTAAACTTTATTTTTAATTTGGTCCCCCAACAGACATTCTACTTAGTATAAGTAACTTTGCAAGTACATGTCAACTTACTCTACTACCCTCAACCCCTTATTCTACTAACCCTACCCTTAACAGTCTACTAATACTGAACTAATACTCTAATGAGAGTTAAGGTCCTTTCACACTGAGCGTGATTAAACAGCGTGAATGTACGTCGCGATGACACTCTTGAGTCGAAACAATAGATCCGTAAGAGCTATTCACACCAAGTGGATCAATCGCAGCGCGACAAAGCAAGATTTTCTTTTGGCTAGTGTGTCGATTTTTTCCCCGTCGTCCCGCGATAAAACGAGCCGTCCAATTAGATTTGAGCTTGCCCGAGCTGCTGCTGTTGCACAAAAGTGTGAGAGTGGTGGCGCTGTTTTGAAAAGCTGTGTAAAACACAGAAGACAAAGAATTCCAGAAGAGAGAAGAGAATGGATGTTGAGCTATGTTAATCGTTGGTGTCTGAGAACATATTTATTCTCACATATTCTTTACAGATTATCATTTTCTATTCATGTTCCACTGAATTATGCGATCTAAAGAGCTTGAAACAGCGTAGGGAGCGCTGTTTTCTTCCGTCTGTGTCAGTTAATTGTCAAAGAGCTCATTCGCTCTAGAGCTGTCAATCATGATTGACAGCTCTAGAGCGAATGAGCTCCAGACATCAACATATTGTCGGCCCAGGTCCGGGCCACATCTGGTACATGTGGATTCCATGCGTACCAGATGTGGGCCGGATCTGGGCCGACATATGTTGCTGTCTGGGATGTGATCATAACTCTTGTCCTTCCGAATGATGACATTGTGTTAATTCCGCACAGTTGTCATATTCATTTATATAGCGCTTTTAAGTACATAAACAATCACGAGAAACATTTTTACAGATGAAACATGAAGGCAAATAAATATTTTGACGATATATGCTCTGTATGTGTTTTTCTTGTGGCTCTGGGTATTTTTATAACAATAAGGAATAAGAAATGCTTATATGAGAAATGCTAAGCGGGTGTAGTGTTAATTTTACTATGAAATACTACAAATAATGCATGTATGCCCATTATATTGTATTTAGTGAATACATTTTGCAACTACATAAAAAAAGTATAATAAATGGTAAAATGGTAAATGGACTGCATTTATATAGCGCTTTCACAGACCCAATGGCCACCAAAGCGCTTTACATATTGCCTCACATTCACTCATTCACCGACGGCGGTGTCAGCCATACAAGGCGCCATCCAGCTCGTCGGGAGCAGCTGGGGTTAGGTGTCTTGCTCATGGACACCTCGACACTTGGTCAGGTGGAACCGGGGATTGAACAACCAACCTTCTGGTTTGTAGACAACCTACATGAACCACTGAGCCACTGCCACTAAATACCTTGAAAATATTGTATTCTGTATGTACTGCAATTGTATTGAATATTGTATAGCATTGAATGTCTGTATATTCAGAACTTGCATGCTGTAAAAATGCAATAGTCCAAATGCAAAAGCCCAAAAGGTCAAGGAAAATTTGGTAACACTTTACTTGAAGGGGTGTACATAAGACTGACATGACACCTTCATAACCATGACATGACATATGTCATGAATATGAAGTAGGGTTTATGCATGTTTATGACAACTGTCATTAAGTGTCTTTCGCTCAATAATGACATTTTGAATGCAAATGTGACATTGTTTAAGATGTCTTTGTTATGACACCTTGACATAAACCATAACATCATAACCTGTCAGTGTCTTTGTCATGACAACTTGACATTAAATTAAGTTAAACTGCCATGTGGTTGGTTTTGACATTGGCTGTCATAAGGCCATTATAACTGTGTCATGAATATTTTTCGTGACCTCAACTACAGTGGTACAAATTGAATTTGTCATTAAACAGTTATAATGGCTTCATGACAGCCAATGTCAAAACCAGCCACCTGACAGTTTAATGTAATGTTAACCCATAAAGCTAAGTGGTTTCTTAAGTTTGATAATTAATCTGCTATGTCATGTTTGTGACAGGTTGTGTTGTCTTAGTAATGTCAAGTTGTCATGACAAAGATGACAGGTTATGATGCATTGGTTTATGTCAAGGTGTCATAACAAAGACATCACAAACAATGTCATATTTGCATTAAAAATTTCATAATTGAGCGAATGACACTTAATGACAGTTGTCACAAACATGCATAAAACTTCCTTCATATTCATAACATGTGTCATGTCATGATTATGAAGGTGTCATGTTAGTCTTATGCACACCCCTTCAAGTAAAGTGTTACCGAAAATGTTAAATGAAAAGCATCTTACAATACACTCTTCCACCACCTCTTACACTTCCTCCTCTCCCTCTCAGATTGTTTCCATCCTTTGTTGGTATCATCATGTGCCACATTTGGACTCTGAACTGGCTTAAAGTTTGTACAGTTGCTTTGATCACATCATTAGAAACAAGTGTGAACAATTTTTAGTCGTTGTGTGTAAACGATAACAGTGTTGTAGTTGTGTTTACAGTAATATTACGGAGCAAAATGTGTTTTAGTGAGTGAGAATGTTTAGAGTTTTGCAAAAAGTGTGCATGATATTTTCAAATGGTGTTTAACTGCCTGAACTTGTTTAAGGTTTTGCAGGAGTGATTTATTCAACAAAATGGTTTGGGCCATTGAGAATTTGGTTCAGAGAATAAGGTTCAGTGTTTTAGCAATTGTGAAATACTGTAATGCACATCTAGTTTTGCAGTCGAATCTGTATTGGTCTGCATGCAGTGAATGGATTGTTAAGAGTCTTCCATTGGCCACAGTCCAGGCCTAGCAGTTGTTGCATGGCATGGTCTAATTTTATTGAGTGTATTTTTAGTCTAATTGATGGGAACACTGGGGAGCAACAATATCACTTTCTAAGACCTGGCTCTAATTCGCAAGATGAATTTAACTTTGCTTAAAGAGTCAATTTACCTATAAATTAATTTTCTGTCATCTATTACTCTCTCTCGCTCTTATATCGTTCCAAACTTGTATGTCTTTATTTCTTCTGTGGGACATAAAAGGAGAAATTCAGAATTTACTTGTCAGTCTCTTCCATGCAATTACAATAATTAATCTTTTTTTTTTAAGTTTGAAAGCTCCACTCTTTGTTCTTAAATCGCATCAAAAAACAATTAGTTCATACCAGTACTTCAAAATCCCTCTGAGAAAATTAAGTTATGTATAGTTTGGAAGAACATGAGGGTAATTAAATGATGATGACTTTAATTTTTTAGTTATTCTTTTTACTCACTGTACTATTTTAATATGATTTAGTGAATAGTAAGATTTTCTGTTTATTTGGACTTATGTTTCTTGATTGCATTAACTGGGATTAACTGGGATTGTTTAAATGCAAAATGTAAACGTTGTGTTATTATTTAGGGATTTGTAGTGTATAGTATATTGATAGACTATTCAAATAAATTATTGAACATCAAAATATTAATGTGTGTAATATTGATGTGTCTGGAATGATATACTGGTGTAATATGAGTAGTAGAAATCCCCCTCATGTCTGGACCAGTATGTGACCTTGAAACACACACACACACACACACGCACGCACGCACACACACACACACACACACACACACCGTGTTTCAATGTTTTATGGCAACTTTCCATAGACATAATGTTCCCTTCCAAAGGAACTCGTGCTGCGTCGTATAACAACACTTTGGGGAACGCCTCTAGTGTGACAGCATCTGAAACATGTTTAAAACTATTCCAGTTCTGATTGGCAATGCATTGTGACGTAGCTTGTGACAGCGTACCACGGAAGCTACAATGGTAAGCTGGCACACACCACCGTCAGCTTCTGTTCTTCAACAAGCACTCTGTGTGTGTGGAAAACTGTCATTAAACATTAAACGCCAGGCTCGCGTTCCTCTTGGTTTGGGACTGGCGTCTGCTGAGCCGGCGCGGAATCTTAAATCGTGGAGGTTGAGACGGCTTTGGCCCTTTCTCTGCCTTGTTCTGCAGGTTCTAGGTCTCATGTTCGTGATACGGAAGCCTCCGCTTTGAGCTCTCCAGTTCTGAGGAACTGGAAGTTGGCAGCTTCGAGGCAGGGGAGATTGAGGATTCACCACCCTCCTCCCCCACTTATGAGGAGCCGGTTGAGGTTGTGACTCGTGCGGTAGCAAAACTTAACATCGAGTGGCCACCAGAAAAGCAGGAAATGAACAGAAAAGCAAGCTAGATGAACGCTTTCTGTTAACCCGACCACAACCTCAGCATCAGACTACAATATGCTTAAAAACAGAGAAGTTTTTCCTTTGAGTATTCCGCGTACAGAGGACACCATTTTCAAAACGATCCCTATACACACGAATCCGCGAAAACGACTAAAAACGCTGTATTTTGCTGCCAGGCCGTCGTAGATGTCGATGAAACACTACGTTTTCAAAAGTTTGCATTTGCAGGCACCCAAAACGCCGTTGTCGTGTAAACGAACGGCCAAAACGCATAAAAAGTTTTACGTTTTTAGTTGAAAACGGTGTCGTGCAAACATGCCCCTTAATGGGCAAGGCAAATATGTCAACAAAGAGTTGTGCTGGTGCGTCCATAGGGATGCGATTAATCGACGATAAATTACTTGTTGATAATTTAATCTATTAAACTTACCAATCGCCAATTAAGCAAGGTC